CTCTCTCTCTCTCTCTCTCTCTCTCTCTCTCATCCTATCCTATTTTATCCTCTCCTTTCTTCTCAAACACAATACATTTAGAAATATAAGTTTAAGCCAATAATACATAATGTTTTTATGATATACTGAATATCGATAAGAATATGTTTAATTTAAACGAATACGAATTGAGACAAAGACATAAATTTTTAAATATAAACTATTAAATACATATAATGTATAATTATAAGAGAATTTTAAAGATTTAAAAATGATAAAAACGATAAATGTTTAATTTACTTACGAATAATTATATAATGTAGTATTATTTAGTATTATCATTTATTAGGGCATCAATTAAATGAAAACAGTCAAAATTGTATTTTAAAGACAAATTGATTTTCAGGCACTATTTTAATAGCATATAAATTAATTATTTCATTTTATGGATAGTGTAAATTGAGTTTCTCTTTAAATCATTTATCATTCGAGTAGTTATAACACATTAAAGCCCATGAATAGTATTTTATGACATATACTATATTCTTTTGTAAACCATTAAATTAAAGTATTTTTCAGATTACCTGTATTTTAACATTTTGTAAGAATGTATAAGAATCCGATAATCTCATGGAATTTATATTATATTTATGTTACAAATTCATTGCTTTCAATTTATGCAATGATTTATTATTTATAATTAACCAATGGATGACACATTTATCTGTAAATACTGCTAAAGCATAGAATATTCCGACAATTAATCTCAAGAATTGCAAAAATTACAAAAATTAATTATTTACTAAATAATGATTGAGTGAAACTATTCCACATTGTATGATAAATTATAACATGCTAATTTTGAATATTTTATTTTATGGTGTAATAATACATAAATTGCCAAATAATTCAAATACTTTTATCATAAATAATAAATTTATAAACGATTAAAATTTTTATATTATATAATAAATAAACGAGAATTTAAAAATAATTTATAGACAAACTGAAGGCTGAAATAGCAATTCACGTACATTTGGATACATTGAAAAGAGTAGAGATCTTCCAGAATACTGAGGCCGGCTTTCTTTGCGAACTTGTCCTCAGATTAAGAAAAAATAATTTATAGACAAACTGAAGGCTGAAATAGCAATTCACGTACATTTGGATACATTGAAAAGAGTAGAGATCTTCCAGAATACTGAGGCCGGCTTTCTTTGCGAACTTGTCCTCAGATTAAGACCCGTTCTCTTTAGTCCTGGAGATTATATCTGCAGAAAAGGAGAGGTCGGGAAAGAGATGTACATTGTTAACAGAGGAAGGTATACACTATTATACACTATAATACTATTCATACATCTATTGCATTGTTTCCATAATCTGATTAATTTGTTGTATTGAAGATTACAAGTGGTTACTGACAACGGAAAAACAGTTTTGGCAACACTTCGCGCCGGCAGTTATTTTGGGGAAATAAGTATTCTTAATATGGGAACCGCTGGTAATCGTCGCACAGCTTCTGTCAGAAGTGTTGGTTACAGTGATTTGTTTTGCCTCAATAAACAAGTATGTCATTTATAAATGTATATTGTATTTTGTGTTAATACCCGCAGTCTAACCATCCATTAATTGAAACATAGGATATGTGGGATGTGTTGAAAGACTATCCGGCGGCTAGAGTTCGGTTGGAAGCGATTGCTGTCAAAAGATTAGAAAAATATCGCAAAGAACCACTTAAGAAGAGTGAGTTTTAGATAATGTTAACAATTGTAATTTTTATACAATATACTGATTGTTATGCGGTTTGAACGCTCAGTCGCAATGGGCAGAAGCCGGTCGACGCCTGGTTTGGTGGAGTCCAAGGGTAAAGTGCCTGTAAGTGATATGAATATCACTCGCAAAGAACAGACGTCGGCCTCGACTGCAACTCTTCTAACGGATGACGAGCTCGAAAGGGAAGAAAACGCTTATAAAGCCAGAGAAGCGGCTGATAACGAGAGCAGTGCCAGTGAAGGCAGTAATAAACCAAATATGCACTCATCTCTTAAACCTAATAACGACGGAATCAATAGTTGCCAATCAGGCGGTGGACTATTGAGTTCTTCGCCTCACCCTCTCATGCCTCCCACATCTCAATCACAACTCCTATATTCACCTCAACTATTGGGTCCAAACCTACAGTTGATTAGTTATGACCGCAATTCCCCTCAACCCCTATTCACGGGTGCCATTCCTTTCTTTCCGCACTCACCCGTCAGCGGGGCTTCAATGCCCTCATATTGCGGTATTAGTCCCGCCGCCTCTTCCACTCATCTGGCAATACCACACGGCATGACATACACATCCTCGCCCACAATCAGCTCAGATGGCCATCACATACAGGTGTCTCAATCAGGTGTTGAACCACTACAGGATGCCGTACTTCACGCCGAGATTAAGCGACTGAGGGAACGACTTGCGGGGTTGGAGACAGAAAACGCTTCGATGACTATTAAACTGAGTCAACAGCAGTGGGAAGTGGAAAATAGGTATTGATTTGATGAAAGATTTATTCAATTACTGTATTAATTGGTGATATTTGTGGCAAAGATTGGCTGAAATAGAGCATCAGATATGTTCTGGTAATGCAAGTGGCAGTACATGTGGTATAGCGCCGGGATCTCTGAGCAGTCAGTCGGAGACCAGTGGAGATGAAAACGAGAGGAATAAAGAATCGGTTATTTGAATACATTCTTCAGATATAAATATATATATATTAATTACAATTGAAATTAACGTTACATAAAATATTGTGATTCCTTTAACTGTTTTAATGAATATTATGGTTAAAAACATTCAAACATTCCTTTTATTGCAATTATTATCAAATAATGTGTTAAATGAATGCATAAATTGTCACATAAATTGATGCAATGTTTCAATTTATTTATTTATAATTTACCAAAAATATATATAAGTTATATACAGTATTGTATTCATATAACAAAGTCATACATTTCTGGCAATTCTTATGCTATTATTATTTTTATTTTCATGCATTAATTTAATTGTAACTCAATTTTTCATTTATTATACTCGTAATCATAATTCATTTTTAGTAATTATATAATGTTTTTAAGAGAAAAGCCAACAAAAGCTGACAAAAACATTTGGACAAAAAGCTTTCATATGTTATATATATCAGACTTTTCGCATATACTCTATGAGTGCAATCGATTTTCAGCCAAAAAATGATTAAATATTTAGTCTTTTCTTTATATTATTCATTACTTTTGAAAATATTGTTTATTATGAATAGTTTGCAAGTATTTGTATTTATATATAGGTATACATAATATAACATACATTATCTCTAATGTGATTCAAAACAAAATGTTTCTAAAATTATATTTTATTTTTTACTGTTCATTAAAACTTATAAATTACACTCATTTCTATTTATTCGTCACTAATTCTCAACAAATTAACTCTCAAAATTGCATTTCAAATGCATTCCGCGATTCCGCTGCACTATATTCACTTCACATGCAAAATGCATCATGTGCGATCATCAATACAATCCACAGTATCGCATATTATATCTCAATTTTTAAATACCTATCAACTCTCTCTCTCTCTCTCTCTCTCCTTATTATTTTGCGTTTTTATCTCAAACAATGATTTAACACATATTATGTGCAAATCTGTTGTTTTATTATTTGAACTCTTTTTTCTTCAGTTATAAGTTATAACACATTTGAGAAAAATGTGAAAATATATTACTTTTGTTTTTAGTCGGAGTCACAACTCATGCAATAAATAGTATTTGAAATCATTCTCTTTTTCTAGCATTAAATTTCTATAAGATTTATGAAACTTTGAAGACTTGAAAATCCTCGGGTTTTATAACCCAAAGAAAATTTGAAACAAAAATATATATCAATAATATATATAAAATTTATATAAAGTATATATAGTAAGGAATTGAAAGGTTGAAAATTTAATATATATATACACCACTTGTCGTGTATTTTCTAATAATAAAAAATTTATACCTCAATAGAAGAGAAACGATGAGAAGAATATGTGATATTCAGTCCAAAAGTGGAGATCGTTGTATGAAATAAAGTATTTTAATACTAGAAATGAACAGTACTTTCATCACATCCAATGCCATCGCATCCAACATATTATACACACTAACAGAAAACACTTGAGTTCACAAAACTTTTCCTTTTTGCGATGATTTATATATATAGCACTCAATTTCGCAAAATATTATATAAAAAATACTGTTTTCTATTAACAAATGAAAGAAATATATTTTTATTCTTAAGATGAAAAGCAAAACATATGAACAGTGAGACTGTGTTTCGTATGAAAAGACTTATTGAGACGCGAGTGAAGTTGTGTTTGGCGTTTGGACTGGTATTACATGTGAACATTACAAGGCATGAACAGCAGTACTCCTCTCTCGAGCTCTTTCTAAAGCATCTCCGCCTCTTTCCTGATGGTTAGGTGGGGGCACCCCTTCCCCCACCCCTTCCCCCTTCCCATCCCTGTTCTCCATAGTTATCGCCCGCTATTCTTCCCCATCGGTTCACCTCTCCCTTCATTTCTTTCCAACAAAACCAAAACTCTAATGCATTTCCTCCGGAGAATTGTCTTAACCGAGTCTATCCTCCCATCCCTTTCTCCCCCTATTTTTACTCTTCATTTCTCAAAGTTGTAAAACTCAATGCAAACAACAAAGCGTTTGCTCAATAAAATCGAAAAGTTCGCCGTTTTCTTCGCTTTATTTCTTAATATTTGTGGCAATCGTTTAAAGCATTGATTTGTTTGCAATGCAAACCAAAACTCGGTTCTTATGCCAATTCGGACATCACTTTCCAATACTCAATGCCTGTGCTCTGCATCACAGCATGTGTTGGGAATGCTGTTTGTAATGAATGGCCAATAAATAGTTAGGGCTTTACGTTTTGGGGTTTGAAGTTCAGTGCAAAACTTGTCTCACAATTGCATTAAATATCTTCACAAGCAGTTCATGAGCTGACAGTTTAGGCGCCGGACTCTCTCCAGGCGTCGAAACATTAGATTCTTTACTAGTTTTTTATACATATATTCCTTTACAATGCCTTCAGATGTTATGTTGAGCTGAATTTGAGCCGAGAATTCGTTGCCTTAAAAAACTATTTAATTATTAATACAAATATAATTCGCAAACACTGTTAACAGTGTTAATGCTATTGAACCTCAAGTGTGAAAACTATAATATTTCTTATTTTTATTCATTTTATTGCACAGAATATCTCAAATTGCGTTATATATTGACTCTAGTTTTGTATTGAAAAGCACTTTAAGTACAATAAAAAACATTATTGATTATTGAATTACTTTAAATTTATATAAATATAACTTATAGTATAGTATAAAGTAGTTCACAAAAATATATATGAAATGTATAAAAAGCAAAATAGCTTTTCATAAAAATACTCAACTTTTGCTTCAAAATTGAGAGAAAAATGCTTTCAAAATAAAGAAGAGATAATATATAAAAGTATAAATTTTTGTGAATAAGTTATAATATTTTGCATAAAATCTTTTTCTGTTGAGATAAACACAGAGCCGGAGCTCATATTGCGGCCAAAATATATGGCATCACATCTGAGGGAATGTTTTTGATGTCAAAAGAATATTTTTGATGATATATTGCGTAAACATTTTCATTGAGTCTAACGTGTATTACGAGAAGAATATACGCCAACAATAAGAAAATCGATTTCATATAAAGTATAAGTTATATATCTTTGAGCTTTTGAGCACTTTTTTCAATTTCCAAACTAAAAGTCCATTCATTCAAATGTTTAGGAATGAGAATTAATTAAGAAAATGGTCCGAATATATGATAAATTCATTCTTCCATTCCATAAACCATTCAATAAGTATAGTATGAAGACTACTATTCATATGAATCGAGTATAGCTTAAGGATCGGTATTTTTAGGCTATTTTATGGGAAAGTTTTGGTAAATTCATTGGTTCCTACAATTTGTATCGCTGGCAACAAATTCATTAAATGCTTGTATTTTTATAATAAGTGTAATTAAAACAAAGATATGTCGAGAGAGGGGCCACTCTTACACTCTATTACAAGTTATTACAAGTTATCTAATGAAAACAAAAGCGTCGCCAAAATTAAACACTAATAACTAGTTTTACACCAAAAATATTTGATATTTTTTCAACATTTTCAATGAAACTAACGCTGAATCGCCCGAAGGCTGTGTCTAAACAATGTATAAATAAATCTGTTTATGGGCTAAAACCTAAAGAGAAAATTCTTACAAACACTTAAATTATGCAATAAAACACATAAACCAAGTTATTTAACAGCCATTGAGTAGTATTTTCCCATTTATTTTGCAAAAACGACTACTCTTTTGGCAAAACATTTCCAATGAATAAAGAAAAGAGTTTAAGAGATTAGTAAAGCGTTCGCGAAATTAAATGAAAAGCATTATTCATATAAAAGATATTTTATCGCTGATTGCTATCATGTCGTAAACATAAATCATTTGGATGTTGGGGTCGTCTCTGAGCTCCGAAAAAAGTCCGATCAATCCTAACATTGAATAATATTATATTAAGCATTGAATCGAGAATTGACTCCAAAATGACATAAAAAATGCCACAAAAACGGGAGAAAAGATAGGCTTTTGTGAAGAAGAAAATGAGATTTTCTTTTACTAAAAAAATGAAGACAACACAAGTTATAAACAAATGGTTTCAATATTTTATTTCTTATATTTCTCTAAGGCTTTAGAAATATTGACTTAAAACTAAAAGTCTTTTCTTTTGGTTTTCCTATTCCTTCTATTCCTTCAATTTTTCAGTTCTTCTATTTATTGGAAAAACTTTTGGGAATTTTTTCGTGTAATAACTTTACGCAAAAATTAAGAATTTTTCAAAAATAAACACATTATATATACTGTATATCTCCTGTTAACTACACATTCACTCATTCTTTAATAGAAAATCTATATAGCATTGGATAATATCCACAACAAAAACCATTTAAGAGTATACTGTATATAATGAGAAAAGGGAGAGAGAGAGAGAGAGAGAGAGAGAGAGAG